CATCTAATCAACCTGATTGCACAGCAAGAATAAGAGATGTGATTGCTTGAAGGTTTTCAGCTGCAGCCAGAGCCTACTGTAAGCCACTCGTTTGGTCACTCAGGCCGTGCCAAACGTGTTGTACTGGATGGATGTGTTGTGTCCCGGTTACAAACATTCAGCGACCCTGCCTGCTTCATTGCTCTGTTTAGCTTGTTTTCTCAAAGCATACAGATTACAATTAAAATCCTGAGCATTAATGCACAATACTTTCACATCAAGATGAGCACTCTTGAAATATTTTAGAACAAAGAGGAACAGTTCTCACATGTTTAAGCACACCAACAGGCATACGAGCAATGGGAAGTTGACAAATACTTCTACATGGAATGTGACCTGATATGACCCAGTTTTTCAGCAGCTTTTGCCGTGGGGATTTAGATGTTTCAAAGGTTAACAACTATTTATATAGTCAAAAACTCTAAACTCTATCAGGATTTAAAATGTTTTATAGGCATATTTGCTTCACCATAGTATGGGTCCTGAAGAATGTGTGAGCGTGTACAGACTGTGGCTCTTTCTTTTTTTGCACCTGTTAGGGTGATTAGAGGTTACACCTTAATCATATTTATTATGGCTGTCACTTTTTCAAAAAGGCTGGTTTGAACAAATTTGAACTAACCGGTACCGTGTGCTGTCCTACAACTGCACTGTTTCTTGAGATTGTGGCGGGACTTCTGGCTGGAAGCCCCTTCTGTGTTTTATTCCGAACTCTTCTCTCGAAACAACGGCAGTGGGCCGCATATTCTTATACTGCTTACCCAGATGCTTCGGTGGCGTGATTATCTCATCCACATAGCTGTGCTCGTCAGTGCAATAGGATATGCAATAGGTCAAGTTCATGACTCAGGCTTTGGTGGTAGTACATGAGATGGAGCAAACATTTGCAGAGACCAGGGGAACATGTGACCGCACCTTAACTTACCATAGTAGAAGAGTTTTGCACTCTTTGGCTAAAGTGGTGGCAGTGTTTCTAATATTTATTTTGCCCTGAGTTGAGCCCCAGAGGCAGATCTTCATCTTAGGCTGCATATAGAAGAAATCCTGTCCTCTTCCCTCATATTAACAGACTTGAACCCTTAACCATTCATACGTAGCCTAAAACATGTGATTAAGAGAAATTGTTGGTGGTGTCTTGGGATTAAGTGATGCCAGGAACCCTTTGGTCAAGGCAAGCGAGTTGTTATTGAATCAGTCATTCTTTTTATTGAGAGGTTGTGTAGTCTGAGCACCTGGAAAAGCCATAGAAATAAAAGAAATGAAAGTCTATGGTGCAACATCAGGAAGGTTTCTTCTAGTTTCTTATGTGTGAGCAGGCTCAACACAACTGCTAAACCAGAGGGAAATTTAGTCGAATAATACCTTTGCCTTGGTGACACATCAAGCCTCTTTCACCAGACCAAAGCTAATTCCCATGGCAACACCATCATTCAAAATGAGTGCAAGAGCTCTACTTCCTAAATAACCAAAAATTACAAGCAACCAGCACTAAGGAGTGCAGAAATCAGGGCCTTAAAGCCTCAGAAGTAACAGAAGTGTGACCATAGAACGAGCAACTAGAGCCATAACTATGTCATTGTTGTCGTCATTTTGTTGTTAAATTACCATTTATAAGGTTCAATGGTAAATAGTATGTTTTTTCCTGCTTGTTGAGTCCCAATCAGTCAGTTTTTGGACAACATGTACAGGACATTGTCTGTGTAATTCAGTTGTAATACAAAATATAGGTCTTTTTTAGAGTGAGAGGCTAGAATCTTATGTTCATTATTTTTTCGTTTGGATCTCACATTGTGCAGTTCAGTTTGTAATGCATCATATTCCATTTAGTGTTAAGGAGGTCTTAAATGTGGCTTTCTAAAGCCTGCAGATAGATAAGAACTTAAACGGGGCTGCTGGTTCTATCACTTGTAGCGCTGTGAGGAGGACTCTCTGACTGGTGACAAAAGGCCAGAGGAAAGAGAGGCAGGCATGGAGCCCTCCCCCTCCTTTTCTCAGTGAGGGAAGCGGGCAGAGAGTGGGTGTTGGAGAGGTGTGGGGGGTTGAATGGGACCAGCTAGTGACCTCAGGCAGAAAGAATGTCCCCGTTTGCTCAGTCGGCCCGCTCCCCTAGCAGCGCACCACACAGTCATCAGCGCTGGGTCCTTTGTGTTCACCTTCCAGACCCCAAACTCCAGAGCAGAGGCCACAGGCGAGCACACAGCAACACCTCACAGCCCCTGCTGCTGCACTGTTCACTATAATCTCACTATTCCTGCAAGTTTAGCCTCTCCAAAGTCTTGGTTTTGAAGACAGTGTCTCTGCACATGCAGTTCTTCCTCGATCCTGCTTTTTCTTTGCTCCACGCTACCAAAATGCTAATTCCTCCTCAGTCTCAAAGTCTTAAAAATCTCACCTATTGTGTGGACAGCATTCCTCGGCTTCTCCAGCCATTTATGTGGGTGTTAATGTATTGCCATCTCCCAGCATTGTGACACTGTGTTTGTGTGTGAAATACAGCGATTGCATAAATTTCAGTGTTAAAAAGAGAGGGTGGGGGGAGGATTTCCCATGCTGGGATACCCATAAAATCAATGGTGGCTCGGGACGACAATTAAATCTGACTAATCCAGCAGATTTATGAGATCCTTGTGCTTCGTCTGCCAGGCTCGGGTGAAGTCATCACGCTGCCAGAGAGACACCGTTGCTGTTAAATGAATTTGAATGGGCGAGCTGTAAGGGGTGCATGGCAGGGGGCTGCAGAAGCCAGCCCGCAGCAGAATTTCTTTTTAGATTGGATTCAAACTTGGATTCTGATGAATGAAGACTCGCCAAGAGGAATTCAGTCTTGACACTCGGAGCTGAAAGCTCAGTGTGCTAAACCTGGATCCGGCATGGTGTGCTCACGTGTCTGTGGGATGTGTTTGCAAGGTGTAGGGCTGCAACCATTGATTGTTTTCAATGATATTTGGTCTTTAAAATGTCAAAAATAATGTGTGAAGGACTTCAGCAGTGAAGAAAACCTGAAAATGATGCGAAACAAAGAGTAAAGCAAGGTATGGTCATGGATATTGATAAATGACCGCACTTTTAAATGGATAATGAAATTGATTTGACAAGTTGGGGACATCCTCCCTCCAGTCTGGAATTGTTGGTTTGTCTGTGAACAGTACACAATGGCAGGAAAGGGAGGAGGAGAGATTTTGGGGGTAAGCAGCCTGCTGTATTGATTGTGCATGGGTTGTGAATGGAATCCTGTTGGGATCAATGGACCGTGTAATTAAATGAAGGCACAGACAGGATGTCACCTACATTCGGCCAGCCAGCTGCTCTACACTGACCTGCTCTTGTGGTTGTAAAGTAGAGAGATGAAGGAAGAGGCATACAGTATGATGTGTTTTGACTTGAGTGTAAGAGGTTAAGAGAAACTGTGTCAAAATGTTCTTCAGTGTGCTGTGTCTGACATAATCTGTTTGTTTTTTCCCAGCACATTAAGGGCAGAAAATTCAGAAGAAATTCCAATTTTAACTGACACTGATGTTTTTATAGCAATATCCAGCTCAACTATAGTACTTGTTCCTGTCAGCAAGCTCTTTCTTTAGACAAAGAAGTCATAACTCATAGGTATTTAACATTAGTAGTAGTAGTAGAAAAAGGCTTTGAGATCTATCTTTTCCTATAAAGACTAATAGGTTTCTGCTATATTAGACATCACATGGCTATAAAGATGCAAGAACATGCATCAAGGATTAGAGATTTATTGTAAACAGCTTTTAGTTCTTTTTAAGACATAGCATGTATTGAAACACAAACATTACATAACTCACATTTATGACTTTAAGTGATACTCCAGGTAAGTATTCTACTTCCATGAAGATGGGGGACTCAACAAGAGTTGTAATAAAAATATAATGGTCAAAAGAGGCTGCGATATTGTGATTTTGGCATATTCAAAAATGCTCTGTCGTACATTTCCCATGATGCAACTTCATAGCATCATTTGATAGACACCTCCCTGCCTGGTAAATGTCCACACCTTTCTCTATACTCAACCTCACCTTGTAAAGCAAACTTTCTGTTAAAAATGTAAAGTCTCCAAGCCAGCAAGAAAAGAAAACAACCACGATGACATCACTATGACATCGGGGTTGTTTTCTTTTAAAAGCTCCCGCCAATGACACAAAAGACACTCTACAACTGTTTTCACACTTTTGAGGGATACTCCCCATGACGAGTAAACTGATCTTGATGTGTAAAATCCCAGAGTGCACCTGCTAAAACAGCCTCCACTCTTCTGTCAAGTTTTCCACAAACATTTGGAACTTGGCTACAAGGATTTGCACCCAATCAGCCACAGGAATATTTTAAGGCCTGGTCACACACAAGAAAGTGCAGCGAAGTCTGCGTATCTTTGCGTAAATAGGGTTCTTGAAGCTTGGTGACGTAGTGACTATACTTTCAGGGTTACTTGGTCAACTGCTATAGCTGGCGAGCTGACTACTAACTCACGGTCGGTTTCAAGTTGGTTTCAATAGCTCACGGTCATGGTTGCGGTGATTCCATTGGAATGAATTGACTTCACTGCCATTTTCAGGGCTGGTGTGACCAGGCCTTTTGGTGAGGTTGGGCGATAAGCCTGGCTCACATTCAGCGTTCCAGGTCATCCTAAAGGTGTTTGATGGTGTTGAGGTCAGATCAACTGAGAAAATGATTTCCTTATGCACCTTTGTACATTATGGCATTGTCATGTTGAAATAGGAAACTGTTGCTGCAAAGTTGGAAGCATACAATTGTCTGAAATACTATTGTATGCTGTAGCATTAAGCTTTGCCTTTTAATGGAATTAAGGAGTCTAGCCCCAAACCAAAAGTGCATAAAAAGGGGTGTACACGTACATTTGGCCATATAGTGTATCTTCAGCAGCACGTTAGAGAAACTCTTCCTTGCTTGAATATGTAGATTTCATTTGTTGTTTTTCTTTTCAGGGCGGAGGCTTCGCGGCAAAGCATTCTACAACGTCAACGGGAAGGTCTATTGTGAGGAGGATTTTCTGGTAAGTCACCTGTGCGGTCATGATTATTGATTTTGGCAGCACTGTGTCATTAAATCATGGCGGGGCGACAGAGGAACGGAGAGCAGAGAGCGAGGGATTAGGATCTCAAGCTACATTCTGCAACCCTCCAGAGGAAACAGACATTGCTGCTACAATTAGGAGTTTAGCACCACCCTTCCAATTCACACTAATTTCCCCCAAATTTCCCCAAGGAGCTCAATTACCCCATGAGCTGCTCCCCGGTACTTACAATTAACAGTGGGAGGAGGACAGCTGTAGCTCTCAGGCTCCCTTTTCCATCTGCTTCAGGTTAACAGGACAGACAAAGGGGCCTGCTCTCACGATGCCTTCGTGTTCTGTTTGGAAATTTTGTAATGTAGATTAACACAACAAGATGCAAATGAAAGTATCACCTTTCTGATCATCACATTTTGTGTACTATAGCTGCATGTGATGCTGTATTTAAGATCAAGAACTAGAATAAAATGTGACGGAGCAAACATTGAGGAAGGAGCTTACGAAAGGTTCCTGTAACATAAATGTTGAAAACATCTTTGTCCTAACACATGGCCTCATCTGCTGGCAATACTTCCTGTTTATAGGCAACTTCCCCTTAGAGTTTAACCTGTTGATTAAGCAGTGCTAAAATTCCTGTTTTGCACTTTGCAATCACTGCCTGTAAATGATAAACTGATGCTGGGGTGAGACTAATGTTCTTCCGCCTTCCTCACACACTTAAGACTGGACTCATCTGGCCTGTCACCCCAGGGGTGTCTCAGGGGTGGGGGGAGTGGCAGATGGTAGATCTGGAGTGGAGATGTCAGGGCAGGGGGCAGGCTGCCCATCACCACCTCCCACCTCCACCTGGTAACCATGTCTCCTCTAACAGCCCCCGTTCATCGGGTCACGACCCTGAGGGAGTTGTGAGCTGCAGATGGTCACCTTCATTATCTGCCTGCGCTTGGGGTTTAAAGGAAAGGGGCAATCGATGGGACACAGGGTGTTTTGTTTCCTGTAACACACAGAAGGCACTTCACACCCAGTTGGTCCGGTGGAGATACTCACCAACCAACAAACAGGTGGCAAATCCCAAATGGGGATGGATTTAACAGTATGAATGTGACAGAGGGCCTTGCGGAAAAGCAGCAGCACCCTTCTTCAGAAAAATAAAGATAGACATTAGGTCAGGCGCCACAAGTGACTGCTGCCTGATGAACATGTCAGCTGAGGGACAATAGATTTTGAAAGAAACCCCTCTCATGTTAATTTAAAGAGCGCAGCAGCGCCCTCTATAGATGAGTCCTGGACCTAAACATGTTCATGCGTCAGTGAAGCAGTACATGTTCTCCCTGATGGCATGGCCCGCACAAAATCCTCCGAACGTCACTGCTGTGGTCAATAAATCCAGTGTCTTGTTTTATCCACAGTACTCTGGTTTCCAGCAGACGGCTGAGAAGTGCTTCGTGTGTGGGCACCTCATCATGGAGATGGTAAGAGCTTTATCAAACACAATATGTAAAGCAAAGAGCGAGTGCATGTACAATTCCGCCATCTACTTGTGGCGTTACTGTGTTTAGGACACTCCCAAATGACTATATGTAAAGTTACAGTTTTTTGTGTCTCACAATCTTGAGTCAGTTCAGCTGCCTGCTTAATAACATTGTAAGTTCATATGAATTTATTTAGCCCTCTTTATGTACTGCATGAACTCCATGGCCTCAATCCCAAGTCTTACTGTAGTGTGTGCTGTCTGTACGTTTCTTCCGTGTGTGGTTGTCTAGATCCTCCAGGCACTAGGCAAGTCCTACCATCCTGGTTGTTTCCGCTGCGTGGTGTGTAAAGAGGGTCTAGATGGAGTGCCTTTCACAGTGGACGTTGAGAACAACATCTACTGTGTCAAAGACTACCACACGTAAGGAAGACATCTGTCCACTCTGCACACTGATAAAATGTCATTGCTGCATGACCAAATGTGGCCTAACAAGCTGTTTCAGTACGAAAAGGAAAAATTGGAACATGGAAAAAGCACAGTTTGTCACAAAATGCACGATTTGCACGCTATTCTTACTGCTGTTACTTTTACTTTGAACCTATATTGTCCTGGTTTTATTTGGAAAAATGTGTTGAATAAGAAGTCAACTGATTTACACTACACAGAGACTGGTGACATCTTACAGTCTGTAATTTTCATCGTCTCGTCCGTGACAGGGTTTTTGCTCCCAAGTGTGCCTCCTGCAACCAGCCCATCCTTCCAGCCCAGGTAAGGAGTAGCTCTAAATGCAAATGAGTTGTGACATGACTTACATATCTGTTAAGTTTGTCATCTCCAAGAAATATGCGTTCCACAAAAAAATGTATTTATTAAAATGAAGGCACCTTTTCAGACTATATTCTAAAGATTCAGCGATAAACACCAAATGAATGTATATTATTTTTAAATATTGCTTTTCATTTCTTAGATCATCTTGGTTTCTATGAATATGCCAAGTACTATTATCTCTGTTATTAGTCACCCTTTATCAAAATAAATAGCAGTGAGGATGTTACAAGATAAAACTTACAAAATATGAAGAATTAAATAGAAATGAGAAAGGACTGAGCTAAAGTAAGCTTGTCTACTGAAGTTCAATATTAGGATTTTTTTTCATTTTGTTTTCTAAAGTCCTATCTGATACGTGAATATGATTACCTATATTACCTATGTATTATCTGAAATACTGATCCTGCCAAAACTTCTTAAACTTAAATAAATCTGGCTGAAGGCGGACAATTTTTCATTTTAATAAAAATGCAATTAAACAATCCAAAACTTTCTCCTCCTGTTTGCCATAAAGCCACATGTATATAGAGCAGCTCAGGTGCTGCATTCTGTACTGAGAGAGTGGAGCAGATTGTGTGTGTTGCTTCAGGACACGTGGCAGCTGCAGGGATCAAACCTGCGGCCTGCTGCTTATTGGACCATCACTTTATTAAGACACTAGAATGATGCATGTGATGGTCTTACTGTGTGTTTGTCCCACCAGGGGTCTGAGGAAACCATCCGGGTAGTTTCTATGGACAAGGACTACCATGTGGAGTGTTACCACTGTGAGGTGAGTCCTGCAATCTGTCCACACACGTACACACACAGGGTATGAGTATGAGCTGTCCACCATGCATGTGATTTGACTAGGGTGCATGATTCAGCTTTTCATGCTGTCGTGAAAAACAGGCACACACAAATTCCCCGATCGTGCACAGACACATTCACGGACATCAGACACAATGATCCTGACTCAGATCTGCAAATCATGGGACGAGACTAGACCAGTTTGTGGCGGATGGTGTGAGTCACCCCTGCAGTCTGTTGTGGAAGGAATGAGACGCGCACACACAGAAAAAACACACCGGATACTAATCCCAAGGTTACAGCTCAACGTTGTGACTCATTGACAAAGCACATTCCAGTGTTGAGCTCTGAACTCAGCTGGGGACATATTGCTTAAACCAGACTGCCACTGACCTCCGTCAGACGGTTTGCAATTCGAGTGTGAAAGAAATGTTTGTGTACAGAGGAAGGGTAAAGTCCAGAGCTGATGGTAAATTCATTACATATTGGGGGTTGGAGTTGGAGGGGGTGGGGGGTGAATCACTGAATACTGAGCAGAAGATACAGCGAGATTCACACCTGCATTACTGCAAATTCATTTATAATACATACATTTTCAGCTGCTTATCCTCTGAATCACGACAGCAGCAGAGTGGTTAAGGGCCTGTTAGTTTATGCAATGCTCTCCAGCATCTCAGGGTCTCATCCCTGTCAGATGTACACCAAATTCCTCCGCAGGTTCAAGGTTAAGAGTGTTCATTCATAATTGCAAAGGCAGCACCTGTAGCTGGTTCACAGAATATTTTGTTCATACTCCCTCTGGCGTTTTGGAGAATACTGCAACGAACAACGCGTTGAGCTTAAACGCCTCTGCGCCTGCACGTAGCTTGCACGCCATCTGCGGTGGGTCGTGCCATGTTGTCTCGCTTAAAACCGGCTACTTTCATATTCGGAATTCCTTCTGGACATCTGAACTCTCTAAGGATGTGAGGGGAGGACATTTTAGTCACTTGTATAAGAGCTTTGCCTTCAGGCTCAGTGAGAAGATTAATGCCACTCTCTGTACATAAAATATAAGGCTACAGCCAGTAGCAGCTTAGCTTAGTTTAGCTCAAAGACTAAAAACTGAGGAAACAGCTAGCCTTGGCTCTGTATAAAGATAATATATATAATCTGTGCGCCAGCACCTGGTATGCAAAATCTCATTTATTTAATCTGACCAAAGCTGAAGTGTAAAAGTATTTTCCATGGGGTTATCTGCCGTTTTTGCACTCATTTTTTTGTACAGATTAAACAAACAAGATATAGCGTGTTCATTTATGAGTTTCGGTGGTGCTGGACACCACCAGGCGAGCTCTTTCCCCCTTTTTCCAGTCTTTGCGCTAAGCTAAGCTAACCTGTAGCTGTAGCTGTAACAGAGAGATGTGAGCAGTGGTATCAATCTTCTCATCAAACTCTCTGTCAGACTATTCCTTTAAATAAATGTTGCATTGACACACACACACACACACACACACACACACACACACACACACATCTGGGTTTTGTTTTTTCGTCTTCATGGTGTTTCATGCTTCTGTCTTTATGGCACTCTTTCAGGACTGTGGTCTCCAGCTAAATGACGAAGAGGGCCATCGCTGTTACCCACTGGAAGGCCACCTGCTCTGTCATGGCTGCCACATCCACCGGCTCCAGTCGCAGGTCTCTGCCCACCTGCCCCCCAGCTACCCCCTCCATGTCACAGAGCTGTGAGGGGGAGGAGGGTGGGCAGCAACCAAGCCCTGCCTCCCAGGTGACCTGAGACACCAGCAGCGGTTAAGAAATTTTTTAAAAAGGCCTGCAGCAGTACCAGGGAAGCCTCTGAGCTACAGCCCCTGTCTTCAACTGAACAGCTGGGCCGTGGACTAACACACAGTGCAGGTCCCACCACAAGCCATGTCATGTCACATGACGGGGCTGGGAAAAAGGGTCCTCCTCCTACTTCATCTGTGGTCCTTTCCTCCCCGCTCCCCTGGGGTGGCTAAACCCTGAAAGCCAACACGCCTACTCACCCAGAGGCCCCCGTGACGTCACACCTCCTGACCCCTGCATATTCATCAAAGAGAGGGTTTTTGGATCGGAGGAGAGAACGTGAACTTGTCTCTCTTCTTGCTTTTCTCTCTTCCTTTCCATGTTTTTCATTCCTATGCTCTGACTGAAGGAGTTTACCACAGTGGATTCACCTGTGCTGTCACGCCTAGAGTGCACTGCTGATGTCTGCGTCGGGAAGGCCAGGGGACAAGCCACTATGTCCAAGTACTGGCTGGACTTGACAGACCCCAGGGTGGGCATGCTGTGCCTTCGGAGCAGGCTCTCTCTGTGCGGCCCCTAACACTGAAATGGAGTCCTGCTAAAGGCTATGCAAAGGACACCCAGCATCATTACACAGGGCTGTGAGAAAAAATATTAAGTCATCGCTCCTCACCCCGCACCGCCCCGAAATAACAGATGCACCGTAGCGCCACAAGCCCAGAGGACAGACTGACATTCCACTTAGAAGTCTTAGACGAGACCTCGAGAGATTCACATGCAGTGTCTTAATTAATGATTATATTATGACAGAAAAAGAAAATGTTAGATGCACATAGATTGTCTTTTATATATGAATATATATTTTGCAGATGTTTTCCACGTGACATCATAGATGTAGATTGTCGGGTTTTTTTGTTGCTGCGTTCGCGATAGATTCGGAGGTGAAACACAGCGTCTGTTATGTTGTCTGACGCTTCTGAAGATTTTGGGTCTGTTGCATCATTTCTCCTCCAGGACACAGAGCCTCTTCATGTCTGTCAGTGGGTCACAGGTCCACAGGCTTTATAGGAGCAGACCTGGCTCAAATAGCATTTGCCTTCAGTTATTTTTATTCCACTTTGAGTACCAAATGTTCAGTGCCTGAATCAAGTTTTTGGCAACAGATGTGTTTCTTTTAGACTGCATATGAAGTGTATACAGCTGGAACATTCCTGCATACTTTTACATTTCACTGCCTTTGGTTAAACCTCAAGCAATGTATTTATTGTAAATACACTAAAAAGTCAAAATGAATTGAATAATGATTTTGACTATTTGAACTGGTTAACCTCTCCAGCGCATGGTCTTAAATTAAGCAGCACTTGAAGTTCTATGTAACCTAATTCCTACAAAATGTAACAATGCATTTATGTACCTTAACTTTAGACTTTCTGACTTTCTGTCAAAGGCCTCTATTTTATCACACAGAGTGTGAGCTTAAGACTTAAGCTTAATCGTCAAATCTGAGAGCTTAGCTACAAATTGGTCTTTAAATACTAAAGATTTAGGCGCTTTGGTGGAGCACTAAAAGACACAGCAGTCAGAAATCAAATGTCAGCTCATGACAGAGAAAATGCAAACGGTTGTAAAGATTGTTTTACAGAGATGTTGTTTCATTTATTAAAAAAGGTATTTGGAAAATATTTGGCTAAACAAAGTGCTAGAAATTGTGAGACAAATAGCATGTTGTGTGCACTAGGCACCTCAGAGGGATGAAGATCTGCACTAAAAATAAACTAATGAACTTACACCTTAATTATACTTTTAAACTATATATCATTTTCCATGCTAAAAACAGTGTTCACAAGCATTTGTTGATAATTTTCTGAACACCCAGTTGCTACTTTCCTCCAGAGAGGAGCCTAAAGTCAGTAATTTTCTATCACCAACGTCTGCCCTGACACTGTCAGGAATGTGGCACCTGGTACTCAAACAGGAATCAAACAATCGCAAATACCTTTTTCCACCAGGTCTGTTCAGGACACTGTTTCCTGGTATGTTTTCAAGACACTGGTTTTTTGTCATATGAGCACTGAGAACAAAGTGCGTCACTACGAGGAACCTCCACTAGTCTGCATGCCTTAAGACAGAACGGGTATGTTTTGTGTCTCGCTCTGGTTTGCCATGCAGTCTGCTGTTGTGTTTTGAGAGGACGTCCCTGAAAAACCCGGAGCTGCTGGTCCCACCCGCATTTTTATGGGACAACCTTGCTGGATGTATGCGTTTATGTGTGTGTGGGTGGGGGGGAGTGCAGGCAGGCAGGCGCTTGCATGTATGTGTTGCAGTGAGTCATGTATGTATGTGTATAATATGCAAAACAAAAACTAAATGAGACAAAATCACTTGAAACGCCGAGCTGTGGTGGTCCTGAAACATTTGTCTCACCTCTCTTCACTGGGTTACTGTCACAATGAGTTTGTTTTCCCCCAGATTGGCACTCAATTAATCCTCCCCTGTAACATGAAAAGTTTTGAAAGTCAGAATTCAAGATAATTTAGGGAACTTCTGTTTTTGAGGAAAATTCTGCCTCAATCATGCGAATTATAGAGATAAACCCCCACCATGTGTGTGCTTATTTTAAATATGAGCAAATTGTGTAAATGTCTTAAGTGTGTGTGTGTGTGTGTGTGTGTGTGTGTGTACTAATGGCAGGACCATGGAACATGCACATCACTGTGTCTGCAGGGCAGGGCAGCATCCAACACAGTGACCCCTGCTCTGTCTGTTGTACCCCAGTGTTGATTTTGATGACATTGTTCGTTCATCACGTACCTTTGTCCAGATGTTTGTGTCTAATTCTTGGTGTTTGTTCGACCCTCTGTCTAGTACCATGTTGGTGGGGCTTACACATGTTCCAGTAAATGTTCCAGTGGCTGATATATCATCCTCTGATAGTGGCAAACCCATCTGGTAACTAAAAGAGAATAAAACAATCACCAACTATTATATGCACTGGCCCAGCTCTTATTCATACTGCATTACCGTGCACACCGGTCTGAATAAATACTACTGAATGTGTCAAAGACAGAGACTGAAGCCAGGGGTCACCACAGGCAGAAAGTGATTTTTGATTTATCCTGATCTAATGAGATTCATTCGAATGTAATAATAATTAGTGTTTGTTCTCCTCCCAGTTGTATATTTGTTAAAACAGAAAAGAAAAGGACTCAATATGTGAGACATTCCTTGTCATTTGATTAACCTCAAGGGTTCTGGTCAAGTAACGTGTGCCATACTTGAAGAATGAGGCATTTTTTTTAACTAGTCTGCACAATATCTACGCCCAAGATAAAACGGGATAAGATCAGAGTGTATCCCCTGTTAAAGATGTCTTGATTCACCTGTTTTAAAAGTACTTCAGTTTCTATTGCATAGCACACAGCTAGTTACCCTGTAAATAAAGAGGCTAGTTTTTTATTTTATTTTTCTGTCAAAAATCACTTGGAAAGAGAAGACGACTTCTTCTCTTACTGGTAGTTCCAACAAGCACATCTCGACACCTGTTAAACATCTTTTGTATTTTGATTACCTAGATGGTTCATAAAAAAAGGAAACTAGATCTATTTATCTAAACATGAAAAAAGTCTAAAGTTATTTAATGTATTAAAAATCGGGACGTATCATTTAACTGTAGATGACATAATCTGCTTTTTCAATAAAGTGGTTTTGTAGCTAACTGCAAAAAATCTGTTTTATTTGTGTGTTGTTTTTTGCCATGTTCAGCAAATCAAGAGTTAAGAACCCCAGTTACAAAATGCCGCTGACATGAACGAGTTTTGCATTGCAAGAATTTTCTTCCCATAACATCCTTCATGATTGGTTTTACTTTGGAAGTCTCACACATCAAATGATATCACTCTCATTTCTCATATTTTAGGTATGCATAAATTTAACTACATTTTTTTTTTACCTTCATTTAACCATGTCAGTCAATTCAGAACAAATTCTCATTTACAATGACGACCTGACCAAGAGGCAGCAACAGGAGGCAAGTCAATACAAGACATTAAAACATAGATACAGCTAGTGAAAGAAAATATTAGACTAAATTAAACGATCACAATATATACTCTCTATAAATATATAAATATTTTCCATTGACTGAATTGCAGACAGGTTTGTATCAGTGACAGATTATGATACAGAAATATGTACTAAATATTACACATGGAGACACTTATAATTACCTATAATTATCTTTGAACCATCTTTGAGGACACAGTGCAGTAAAATTACAGCTGTGTGATTCATAACTACATAGACACATGTCGCATCTAAACAGCAGGCTAGTCATGAAAACATGGCAACATGGACAGTTTTGGACCAGGAATGCAGTGGAAGTGGTAGTACAGAATTTTACATTTGCCTTAACACCGTTTTCACAACGGAGTTTAATTTATTCTTGTTCCACTCTCACATCTGGCTACTGGCAGCTGGTTAGCTTAGCTTAATCCACTTTAAAATGCATGTTTTCACGCTTATATTTTGTAAGGGAGTGCATGAAACAAGGTAAAGGTGTTAATTAGAGAGATATATAATTGCTGAGGCCGATTTTGTTTTTCATTCAAGACAAACTTGTATTCCTACAGTAATCACTGAAAATACAGTAAGCTAAAGTAATACTGTAATCCTGGAAAGCATTCAATTAAACCACTGTAATGACATTTTAACAGTAATCAAAAGAAACACTTTGTGTTGAAGGTGAAGTATTTCTCTGTAGCTCTTAATGTCTTCTGCTGACGTGTCTCCCTGAAATGATCAACCAGGGGTCACTGGATTACTGTTGGATCACCCTGGTTCTTTTTACTGTGCTCTACTGTACTGGGCTGTGTTACTTTTTTAATATTGCATACCTTTAATGTTGCTGTTTTACAAATTGAAGTTTACTCCAGTCAAGTTAACACTCTAGTTTATTTCTGTAATGACAGCCAACGGTCTCAAAAGGCTTAATAACACCCACATCATGAAAAAAATAAAAGAAAACTGTTAATTAAAAACTGCAATTACAACAAAACATCAGACTCCCAATGGGAACAACACAAACTCCCACGAATCATCATTAAATATGTGCTCGAGGTCGGTATTGTCCAGAGTTAGCAAAATACTGCTGTATAATTACATCCATGCACGCAACCTTAGCGTGTCATATGATGGACTCTCACTCCTGGAATGCAGCACTCTGATGGTCAGATAATCAGAACCCTGGAAAAGATATGACTGTCAGAAACCCTTTATCCAACAATCTAACAAGGTTAAAAACTATAAAGAAAAGGAGAGAAACTAGCAACAATTGACAAACATGAATTTAAACATGATAGTAGGCTATGAGAAGATACAGAGCAGCCAACAGAAACACAGTCACCGGTGAGGGAGTTCTGACCCTTTCAGTAAACGTCTCCAACACATAAACATTCATGGAAATACCATACAGCCATGATAAACTTATAGTGTGGGGATGTCCATGATGTTTGTTTAGATTTTTAGTCGTAAAAGCTAGAAAAAATTTATTAACTTACAATGCATTTAAAAGCACAAAATATTATCTTTCATTTTACATACTAAATGATTTGGTACTCAGACTATGTGCGACTGTAACTTAAATCACAGCATTAAAGTTGTCTCCTGTCCCTATTTCTATGGATGATAGGCTTTAAACAGCTCTTTAGTTTTTACACCTTGAGTAAAGCAGTTGGGCTGGTGAGATGAATTGGGAAACTGCACCCCTATGGTGTGGTATTGTGCAACATTTGGGCTAATTGGAGCGTAAAGTATGTTGATTACAAGACTTCTAATGTCAAATATGAAAGTGAATCTTTCTTCGAACCTTTGAACTGAATAAATCACATTCCTACAAGAGCCTACAAGGTGTCAGTCATCAAATTGATTTTTTTTATTGTGTTTCCATTTATACATATAGTCGGAATATAAATAACTGAGGCTTTCTTGATTGCATCACCATTAGATAGCTTGCGTCGTTACGTAACCAGGCAAGTTAATTAAGATCACCCTATGTCTTAAATAAAAAAATTTAAATTGAACTGAAAAAATGAAGACACTTATTTGCAGTGACTCTGAAGTAGGTTGTGCCCTAGTACAACAGGTCACAATGACACAAGTCTAGCATGGGACAGACCTGGGACAGGTGTGCCCCATGCATATAAGTCAGTCTTGGTTGGACTTCCTCATCTCAAGGCTTGATATGTTGTGTTTGGTTTCTTGTCTTTGTTTTTACAGCACAACATCCATGCAGCACATGTTCACCCATCCACTCCCTACACACCTAATGTGATCGTAGTGTTCCAGTACAGTCCTTCTCTTTAGCGCCCCCAGCGGACATTTGTTTCTCAAAACTGTGGCAAAGCGCTGCAAAGATGTAGTCAGAGGTACGTATTTCCCATGAGACCTGGGGCCTGTACCACGAAGTGGGATTCGAGCTTATCCAGGTAACCTCGGGGTTAACCCTGGGTCTTCAGTACCACGAAGGTGGTTCACTTCTTACCGGGGTAGATCTCCATGGTAACTTATGCTGAACGGCTAACCTGCTCCGGAGCAGGTTATGTTCCAGATAAGAGATTAACTCTGTGAAAACGCCAACGACCAATCAGCTCTCTTGGAAAATGACATCACCATCTTATAGGCTGCTTTATGTTTGCTGCGGTGATACGGAGAAACTCTTCATCCTACAGAGACTGATTAAAAGCCTTAGGCTATTGTTGCCTACAGGTTTTTACAGTAGCCTACTAACTGCTTTGAACTTTGTTTAATAGCCTACCTATTTTTTATTTGCTCCTAGTCCGTTTGACACCTGTCGCAGCCGTTAAATGGGTTTCATTTTTCTTATGTTAGGCTGAATATTATGAGCAGTTTGGTAGGGATTGAAATACATTTTAATACGAACGTAGGCTATCTATTTTAGGTTAGTAGCTTTCTTATAGGCCTACTACAGAGACTGGTCATGTAGCCTACCTCCCCACCTTTAGTTTGTGAGGTGAGTTTTCAGCAGCCTAAATGTTGAGATTTAGTCTTTCAACCATTATCTGACCACATTTTATGGCATGAATGGATTTTTCATTTCATTGCTTTATGAAGTTAATGTGTGTTAAATAAATAATAAATAGTTATGTTGAACTGGCTTCGTGGTACAGGCCCCAGGCTGACCAAAACAGTAAAGCTGCAGGCTGTTAAATCAAAACAATGAACTGGATGGAATTTAAACGCTCGGTAGAAATGACAGGAACTGCAGAGTTGGGTGGTAATTCTCTGTTGGTTTATCATTACAAGAGAGCCCTTTTACATTAGATATTTAAACCACTGTTATACAAAAATATTGATTATTATATTGATAAAATATTGTTACTACTGATGCCTCTGCATGAGGTTGGTAGTGTGGTTTGAAACTACAGGAACAGTGCAGTGCTGGCGTCATCTCTCAGAGGATCCTGCAGGTGAGTGGGTGGGTTTCAGCAGAAGTAGAAGTCCCATTTTTTTTAACTGCTCACTTGCTGAAATGCTGCTGCCTGGCTCAATCCCCAAGAGGGTAAGGAACCAAGGCATCCTCTCTTTTCCGTTAAAGGGAATACTTGGTTGACAGACTCTCAAGGATGCCAGTTAGATATGACTGTATTCAAAAAAAGAGGAAAGGGGGAAATGGGGGAAGTCGACTTACACAGTTCCTGCACCTGCACTGAGGATAAAAGCTGAAAACGTAAAATGCACACCCCTATCACCCTTTGAGTCTCACATTTCAATGACAGTAGGTACAGCTGTATTTATAAGCCACTGATACACAGATAGTTAGAGCTACATTTCGTGTGGGTGTACATAAAAGCGCTGTCTGCCCACTTACTGCGCTCTCCTGTGAGCTGAACAGTGGTGTTCAGTGTGAGGAGCTCTCTGGTGTTGGTTGTCAGCTCCATGAGTTGGGGCACAAAGCGCCCTTTATGTGTGTGAGGGTTCCACCCTGTGACTCAGAGAGCTGTGTGTGTGTGTGTGTGTGTGTGTGTGTGTGTGTGTGTGTGTGTTGAGCCCCAGGAGATCCGCTGTGAGGTGAGCTCTGTTACACAGCACAAAAGAACACCTTCCCTCTGGAGCATACAGGTCCCTCTACTGCCAGTTAAATGAGTGAAAATATGCTCGCCACAGGATTACCTCATACACTCTGAATCTTTGGTTGCTGACACTTTGTCCCTTTCCTGTAACAATTTTTTTTGTTTTTGTTTTTTTGTTTCTCTGTCCTTGTCTGATTTTTCACTCATTATACAGCAGTTTTTTTAGTAATCTAGCATGCCATTTTCAATTAAAAGTTTCCTCTGTGAGACATAGCAACAGCAATTCAACTTACTTAGGCCCTGTCTATACGAGCACAGGTATATTCAAAGCTGTGACTTTTTCTACGCGGTTTGGCCTTTCGTCCACACCAAAATGCAGTATCAGGTCACTGAAACCAAAAATGTTTGAAAACCCCTGCCAGGGTGAGGATTTTAAGAAACGCCGGTTGCAGCGTTGTCGTGTAGACGGTAAAACCGGAGTTTTTGCCTTGCGACGTCAGAGTGTGCGTCATTATCTGCTGTGTTTGATGTGCACCACTACCTGTTTAGTTTAAAATTTTATTAGGCTCCGTTTGGCCAACATGGCTTTACGGTTAGGGTCATATCGCAGCCTGGTGGTTTGGCATGCTCTTGACAGT